GAGATGCCGCAGACGTATGGGTTCTTTGGGCGGGGCATGATGTGGGCGATTAACGACGTGGGAAGGATGTTTGAGTTCTTCAAGAGAGAAGGCTATGGGGCGGACATTCAGATGTTGAGAAAGGAAGAGCCCAGATTGCAGGACTTTGAGACTTGGTTGAAGGAGAGCAGTGAATGGAAGAATGAGAAAAGCGGTATGTGAGATTGTCAGAATATGGTGGGTTGGGAGTTATGTTGGCGTTGATCGTATCTCACTCAGTCCGTGGAAGACTGGGATAAATTCTTAATCAAACTGATAGTTTCGCGGACCCTGAACACGATTCTCGCGGTGCCTTGAAGGTGAAGTTCGCGAAGCCTCACGGTCTGCCTTCTACTGATCGGCCGGACTGCCATCTCACAGCCCCAAGGCATCAATCGCCGCCCGTCGCTTTTACGGAGTAATCCAGCAAATAGCTCCTTGCCAAGACTGTAGGGCAGAACGGGCGGAGCCATGTGTCACGATAAGTCGACCACTCTTGACCAGCGCCCAATACTCTGATGTCATTCCCGCCCGACTGCGCCGCATCAGCACATAACATAGCACAAGCGACCTCGCTGCAAAGGCTTCCGCGGGTCAAAGTCCTTCAACCGTCGTTGGGACTTTCGTCACCAGACCGACTGTTCCAGCCCCATGGTTTCTTGGTTGCTTAAAACCATTTTGCCAATTTGAACTCGCCAAGCCAGCTTGTTGGAGCTCAATTAGGTGGCTCGCCGCAAACTGTCAACCCAAAAAGGAATATTATGACGCGAAGCGACAGGGAGTCGTTACGCCCGACTTGTGTTTGTCACTTGGCGCTAAGCATCTGGAGCCGTTGATCTGCGGTCTGGGGTAAGCAAGCTTAATTGCTTCCCCCTTGCGGGTGGCACCGCCCTCGTGGTTCTCACGATGGTGCCAGCGGTTATTAAAAGAACCCCCTTTCTCTGTTGGAAGAATCAGGTCTTCATCCCATGCTGCCGAAGTACACTTGCACCTAGTCAGTCTCACCAAATCCGTCAAAATGCCTACCGCGACTTCAACCTCCCAATTTGCCATCACCAACGTCGGACCCCTGACAACGGTCTTCACAACACCGACCTCCTGCGCGACCGCACAACCGGAGCTGTATCTCGCAATCAGCGGCGCGTGGGGATCTGACCGCGTCGCCGCTTATTACAAGCAAAACTGCGACGTCTCAAAGTTGGGCGAGTGCTTCCCGTCCGGTAAGGAGCTCGACGACGCATTATCTGCGGCAAGCACCAAGGCGAATAACGACCGCGCAACAATCGCATACTTCTCTCCTGCAAGCCAATGCCCGGATTCATATACGACCGCGGGATCAGCCCACGGAGGTAGCGACGGCAACGTCACGTCGTCTGGCGTATTCGTGCCGCCGGTTGTGACGAGCGGCTTGCGCTCCGGCGGCTTGATTGGCTACAACCCGCCGCTGAACGTGTTGATGGAGGTTCTTGACGAGGATGAGATAGCGATTGTTTGTTGTCCCGAGTAAGTTCACCGGATCTTTAGTTCATCTACATTGTTAAATGACGGAATAGAAATTACACTGTCGGTATCAACGGCGGCTGTTTTTCAACAGTCCCGGAGTCCGTATACGGTGAAAAGACGGCCTGCGCTAGGGTCATCCCAAACGATGTCTACACCCAGGTCACGGCCGCCATAACCTACAACAACACCGTCGTGACGGGTCGTGTGATATCGTACACCGTCTCGGGGCCCATTGAGTACAACACTCGCACACAGACGTATACAGCCTCCGCGATCACCGAAAGTATGTACCCCGTCGCGTACAAGCCGGCCGTCACCTTGGTGAACAAGGGCGAGGCCGGAGAGACTGGCGGTGCCAGCGGCAGTGGGAGCGGCACTGTGGCTCCATCGGGGACGGGGGCTAGTGCAGCTCACGGCGTGAGGATGACTACCTCTGGAGGTGGTGTTGGAATCTTGGCCACGGTGTGGACTTTCGCAGCGCTGGCTGGTGTTGCGCTTGCCATGCCCTTTTAAGACGAGTGGGACGTTTTGGGGGTATGAAGAATAATGCACATGATCAGATACCCAAAGGCTTTTTGCTAGGATTTTGAAAAAGATCTTTTGAACCACCTGCCTATTAAATCACGTTGCTTTGCCGTTGATCCGCATCTCCACTACGAAGGATTGGCCGGTCGCTGGCCAGGCAGCAATCCAGCGCAAATCAATTCAACTACAGGATCAGGTCTGCAAATGCCAAGGGTGGTCAGCGCTGGTCGTCTCTTATCGCGAATGAATCCTCGCATCTTCGGCACACAGCGGGCCGCTCCCCTCGTCACCTGCCATATATAAATAGGCCGGCTTTTTCACAAACGATCATGGCAGTGCTCATCTTATTGCTGTCTCTGATTTCAACCATTTTGCTATCATCGCAGTCGAACCAAGTCGAGTCAAGCTCGCCGAATAACGCATCACTTTTCACCCAGCAACAATCCTTCCCCACGATCATGTCGGCAGAAGGGAACTATACACAGCTTAGCAATGTCGCCAATGACGATGACATCGATCCCGAACATGTCAAAATCTACATGATGACAAAGCTCACCGAAGAAGAGGAACAGAAGTACCTGAAGTCTATCGACGGAACGGTTGGCCAAGACGAAGGGTCCTGGGTCCACCCCAAACTGGTCCCATGGACGTCTGACACAGACGGCACCACCGACAAAGACTTACTCCAATACTACAAAAAGGTCAAAGAGGAAGAAGGTGCAGAGTCGGAATTCTATGGCTTCTTCGCTGACCGCAAGAGCGTCGAGGAAGGGGGAACTATCCTGGTCGATCGGGCCTGGTACGCACTCTGCACCTCGAAGAAGGCGAGCGAGCAGATCTCGAAGTTGGCGAGAGATAATGGGCTAGAGATGACTGCTGAACGCTGGATGTCGATGCCGGGATATGCAGAGGATCTCATGGATCTCGCACTTGAGCGCGGTATCGTGTGGGGGAGAGAGGCTGGGGTGCAGTGGAAGAGTGACTGGATGAATCTGGATGTTTCAAATATGGATACGGGTGAGCTTCTCGAGGATGAATTTGAGATCGTTTTGGATCCGGAGTGGGATGCTGCATCCTTTTTGGAGAGGCTTAGAGAAGAGCTGGAGAAGACGAAAGAACAGGAGGAAAACTGATCCTTATTGGTTTGAATTGGACTATTTCACCTGTGGCTACTGACGCAGACGTTTTGTTTCCATGAATGTACATATTCCTTAGAGAAAATGAAAACGAAATGAAGGATAAATGACTAGACCATACCGAGAGCTCGTATCAAAGACAGAGCCCTACAAGATCGTCGTAGTACTTGGTATCAAGCCTGATGCCCTCCTCGTGGCAGTCCCGGATAATCCGCGCGTTGTATCGGCGTCGCCTCTCTTTTCTGTCTTTGGGCTCTCCATACTGACCCTTAGAGTTTTCCAAATACCACTCGGCGATGACCTTGAACGCGCACATCTTCAAGGTTTCTGGAGCATGAAGCTCATGAAGCCGTCTTTTGGCTTCGGACCACCGATCTGCGTCAACAGCTGAAAGCCACTCTTGTAATCCGCAGTGTTGCAAGACACTGCGCCTCTGTAGAGTCTGATGCACTTCCTTCTGTGCCTCCAATGAGTTCCTCAACAGGCAATACAGACACGCTTCGGAGTACTCAGGGGACCTTGCCGCTGCCTGTATCGCATTCTTTCCGCTTTTGTCTGATATCCAGGGATTCGCTCCGTATGAGGTCAATTGTTGCAAGTGAGAAAAGACCTTATCCTTGTTGTTCTTTTTATCGACCAGTAACATCAACAAAGGCGTTCTTCCATCTCCGTCCCTGATGTTCGGGTCTCCTCCTCGTTCGAGAACTGTCTGGAATAGATCGTGGAATGGGTGTGTGGATCCGGTGTCCCTTACACAGTTCTCTGACAAAACATGCAAGAGGGAGACACCTGGTTTTAGACCTGTAGATGGTGGGGTTATCAATTCGGCGGAGTAGCATAGCCATCGTCCTAAGGTAGTGTCAAAAGTGTCGTCAATCCCTATGCTAGGCAATATCTCAATATATTCCACTGTCAACGATTTTCCCATAGGAACCAGGGTGTCTGGATTAGCCCCGGACTCGATCATGATGCAGATAATGTTTGCCCACTCGCGGCAACCCACCCAATCCTTGAGCTTCCCGAAATTTGCCAAAAGCACCTCAAGGGGCATTCGACCGTCTGGGAACGGCATTGTGGCACTTGCTCCTCGGGAGAGAAAGAAGTCGAGGGGAAGTCTATGTTGCTGTAAGATATAATGAAAAGGGGTGAAACCCGACCGATTGGGGGTATTGAGAGTGCAAGGTTCGTGGTCGATCAGGGCATGAAGAGTATTGTTCTCTCCTTTCTCCGGAGTGGAAAATTGTACCGCGATATGAACTGGTGTGTTACCATCGGCATCTTTCGTTGTCGTGTCCGCACGACGCCCCAAGAGAAGAAGGGCAATATCATGGGATGCAGCTAGATGCAGCGGGGTCTTCCCAAATTTTCCTTTAGCATTCACCGTAGCTCCATGTTCAAGCAGGAGGGCGACGATCTCCGCAGAGCCTTTCTCTGTGGCATAGTGAAGTGCCCCATTGCCCAGATGATCTTTGACGTTGACTAGTGAGAAATCTTTACGTAATTTACGTAGGGCTTCTTCCACCTCAACCTTGTCCTGTGCGAGAACAGCCAGATGGAGATCAGTTTTTCCGTCCGCACGATAGGGACTGGAGAGAGGATCAGCGACCATTGGAGATCGAATTCGAGCGACCACTTCGGGAAAAGAAATATCGCTGGGTGGTGCGGGTAGGCCGGTATTTCCATCAGAATATGAATGGCTCGCAAGGTTTGTTGGAGAGGAAAGCGTTGCTGGAGCACTGATTGCGGAGTTGAAACTTCTTGTTTGGAGTTAGCCTTTTCATCCATCTCATTGACTGCAGCACAGTGAATATGTGCAGCTCACCTCGTTTCCATTGCTGAGCTCGACACGACTGGAAGGAAGCCTCCTAGAGGTTCGTCTACGGTGGCGGTAGAAGAACGAGCGAGTGAAGGGGAGCGAGCTTTGTCACTTGATCGTTGACCATCATGAAGTTTGTACTTCATATAGCCCCATTTGCGTAGCTGGTTGTGATATGACCGCTCCCTGAAGAGAAGGTCAACGCAATGAGCAGATATTAAAACCTACCATTCGATGCAACTTACGACGCTTTGAAGTCATGACGAGCCTCGATTATCCTCATCAAATCTTTGAGTTTTTGGTTCTCTTTGCAGTAAAGTTGATGGACATCCGCTCGAAGACTACGCCAGTCTTTGGTCATCTTCAGTAATGGATCTGCGGAATGGCTCGAAAACTGAGGAGTCAGTAACGAAAACGAAGTTGTTGTTATACGTTTGTAGTCGTGACAAGCACCATCTGAATGCCTGCGGTTGAGGTTCGACAAGCGTCGCTTAGCCTGGATCAGATGTTTTATCTACTTGATGGCCAAGTTCAAGCGCCTCAGGCTGACAGGCAAAGCCGAGACGGGGCCAATTCCAACCTGCATATGCAGCTGAGCCGCCATCATAAATGATAAAGACGCAAGGTACTAGGTATGCAGCTCCTGCAAGTCTTGTTGGCCAACATCACTGCAATACAATACGACATCAAAGTGCAAATTTCACTTGATTGGATGTCCCTTTGCATCCCATTGCCTCCATAGTGGAGCCATTGACTGGCACTGCCTAGACCAGGGAAAATTTGCATTTTGCACATTCAGAGGTGTTTTGCAGTTTCTACATCTGCAAGTACCAGCAGGCATCGCAGGCTTTGACCCATGTCTATCTGACAGTCGCTAAATGCGTTCCGCGATTAGATATATATGAGCTATCATATTGCAGATTATCTCGCCTTCACATCCGGGCTTGTTATTTTGTTGTTCAATCATCGGGCGGTCTGGCCACCCGGCCAGGCGCTGTCCGCTTCGATTCCAAGGCGTCCCCTGAGCATTGCAACCCGGCTTCTGGACCTTCTATCCTCTGAGATCGATGCAGTCCTTACGCCTTTTCGGCTTAGGAATGTAACTAGCTCCACGGTTCGCATTGTCTGGGGCGGGGATGACGGGCTACATGGGGCCCAAGCCTTTTTTGCAAGTCTGCACATGTGGTTCCGAAAACCACCCGCAGCATTGACTTCGCATCATCAAGAGCTAATGGGAGTCCTGCATATTTCCCTCCCTGACAGACAGTGTTTCTGCGGTTTCTCTGCCTGGAAATATTCTTGCATATCTGGATAGATCATTGCACATTATCCGCCGTGAGCAAAAGATGAGGTGGTCAAAGGTTATGACTTTCATCATGCTGGGTCTTAACCCAGTCCCTCGGGTATATAAGGGTCAACATGAGCCTAATCATAAGTCGCCTTGGAAGAGTAAACTCATCGAAGAGTTCGAGAACGATTCTTTCTCCGGCCATTGTTTTTTTTGTTTGGAATCTCAAACTGCGGTAGTACTAGTCCGATTCCTTGTCGATTTACTCAGCGACCTTTCTATTGCGGTCGATATGGCATCGCGCACAAGTATATCAAGACCATTGCATGCTGCTTCCAGGTATGGTTTCACAAACTTGCGTTACAAATGCCCTTTCTTTCCGGACTGTGCTGACCTTCTCGAGCTGAAGGCCCCGTACCCCTGATGCGCAGGGGTGCTCGACCTAACGAAAGGATGGCGATAGCTCCCTTCCTAACGACCATGAGCGGGAACAACCGCTGGAGCTATCGCACAGTATGATTCAGCGGCATGATGAGAATACTGCCCTAGACGTTGCTGGTATCAAAAAAGATCAAAAAAGGGATGGACGGGCTCTCGTACGCAATCTGGAGTCATTAGGGCTCACGATGGAGTCTGAGATAGCACACAAAGTGGCTAGAAACAGCTATGGAATAAGTCCTATGGAAAGACTTATGAGGGAGTCGCAAGACTTCACGAGGAAGAGCTGTTGACTATATCTCCAAACCAGCACTTAGTGCACAAAATCATATTATATACAGCTTTGTTATGCTTATAAGACGAGATGTTAGTGTAGGGTACTATCTGCGTATATATGGATTTTTGCTACCTATCTAGTTGAAAACTCCTAGTTATGCGTTCAGTTTGCAGCAAGAATTCCTATTAAACCTTAATAAAGGCTAATAATGTCTTGTTTATTCGCATAATATTGTGGCGAGCAGATTCTGCATTATGATGATTTTGAACGACTCTCCAGAAATATGCAGCCTTTAACTGTCCAGTCTAAAGGTATAGATTCTCACACGCTAGCATTTCATAATACCTCACTCTTAAAGGCTTAATACCTAGCAGTAGGGAGATCAGCAACATAAAAATCTCTGCTATTATAGTTAATTATCATGACGAGGCACTAAATCTAATAGCTGACCTTTGCGACTGTCGAAGAGCTCTTTGTATCCCTAAGATGGCATAAGATCAGCATATTCCTCTGCACTGTCAATACGGCGGTTTGGAGTTATAAGAAGCTTGCCCTGGTGACCGTCGTTGCTGGCGTCACGGCCTACTCGATACTGCACAGATTCCAAATAGGATCTGGGACCTGAGTTGAATACCTGTTGAGCTGTTGGCGTTTCCCTGCGGAAAAGCTGGACTAGGTCTGGAAGAACGAATTTCATAAGCTTCGAGCATCTTAAAACATATTGTTCCATTTTTCTACCTTCAAGTCGATATATAACGACAGGATTGGTCGATGCTCTTATTCCTATTCCTATGCCAGTAATATGCTACTGGACGCCCTTTTCTCGCATCTTTTGGGCAATCACTGCGATTGGAATCTCCAGCCCTGCTCCGATGACTATGATTGTGGTCCAACAGCGTCAGACGGTCTGATAGGTCGAAAGGTGACACAAAAGAACACTACGTACCGTATACGTTATAGCCGGCTTGAACAAGCTCGATTGCATCGTTGCGAACACCCTTGTCGACGAGCTCGGGATCCCAGCCTTCAGCAAGCGCCAGCGGATGGTACGGCGGCAGGCCCCTGGATCATGCAAGGGGGTCAGCAATTTGAGTTGAGAGCATGTAAGTTGTTGTTTCAACTTCTCTTACGTGTAAAACACATTGATGCCTTCTCTGTTGCTGCCAGAAAGATTGGATGCAGATTCTGTTTTCTCACCGAAGGTCATATTGGCTGGATGGAAGAATAGTGTTGCGTGGGGATGTAATGTCGTGCGTATTCATTCAATGTGTGTGAAGAGGAAAAGAAGTGGGTGATTGAGAGTGTAGGCCCCGTGGAACTTATATCTCGGTCTTGCTGGTATCGGCACTGGCAGGCGCCTTTCAGCAAAGTAGAAGGTAGATGGCCATTCAGGGACACTCTACGTTTGTTGTCAGCATGCTTGTGCCATTACGCCAAGGCCATGACTTTGGGAATACAATGCATGGCGCATCCTTCAGCTCTCACAAGATACGGTATACGGTGAGCGAAACTTCATTTGGTTTAGCGCGCGACCTGATTACCAAGTTTGCGCAAATACATATGCAGCTTGCCACACAGACTAGTGTCCGCCGCAAATCCTACGCCTCATAAATCCCACCATACCGAGAAGAGTTTCAGGGATCAAGCTCCAGGGATCAATCATCAAGCCATTGGTGATGTAAACCATAGCCTTCACAATATTAAGCGTTAGAACTGTCCCTCAAAGTCGACATAAAGCTTCTCTTGGCTTGGGATCTTGACCTGTTTGGTCATCTCATTACACGAATTGCATGGTTTCAATGACGACGGCCCTGGCATTGACTGGAAGTGCAGACTAGTGAGATGGCACCTGCAAAGATCAGAAAACGAAACCAACTATAAATACGCATCTGCTTCTCTTCCTTCAGCAGATATTCGAACACTATTCGGGTCACATCATCTCAACTCAATTTCCTTCAACCTCAAACATGTCACCTTCCGTCCCTTCGCCGTCTGTCACCACAGACGACTGGCTTAATGCTGCGAGCTACAGAAGAACTATCTATGGCTTGAAGGGAACTTCCTCCGTTCCTGACAGTCGGGTTCGAGATATCATACAAAAGATCCAGGTCTTTGCTCCTTCTGCCTACAACACGCAACCCATCCGCTATTCTCTTGTCACGGGGGAGAAGCATAAGCTCTTCTGGGAGATTATCATCCAAGCTGCAGAGCCTTCCATCAAGGGAATCAACGAAGCAGCGTGGAAGAGCATGCATGGTTTCCTTCAAAATCACAAAGCTGCTTATGGCTCCGTATGCTGCCCACTGTCCCTCGCCATATTCCGATAATCCTAACTGACAAGCTATAGGTGGTGGTCTGGGAGAGCCTGAATGCTCAGAATAAAGGCGCAGAAAGCCACAAGTCTGCAGCTCAGATGTTCCCCCAATACGGTGACCACGCATCGGGTATGGCCCAGATGTTGCTCTGGACGGCCCTGGAACTGGAAGGGCTGGGTGCCAATCTGCAACACATGCAGTCCATCCCGCAGGTGGAGGCAGCCTTGAAGAAGTTTTGTGGCGTGCCTGAGGACTACTCATTGAAGGCTCATATAAACTACGGCGATAAGGCCCAGCCTCATCCCGAGATTCCTCTCAAGATGCCTTTCTCTGAGGCATTCAATCAGCTAGGGTAGAAATTACGCTGTGGTGGTTTCGTCACAAGCCCGAACACAGCGACCGTCTGGCATGATATGGCTCGTCCGCAACGAAGACTAGTAATTTATTGGAGATGGAAGTAGACAAGACAGCCTTTTGGTAGATCAACATTTGCCACGGTGTATATTCCTCCGCTGGACACGCTTGTGAAGTAATCCCAACCCCTAATCACGATGTGTGCGCATCTGGACCTCTCCACCTATAGAAACCAAGCCTCATAGACTTCCACTAGCTGCGGCGGATTAAGTCAAATCTACAAATGTACTATTCTAGTAAGGACAAGAATATCAGAAGGAATACTAACTAAGTACACACATTGGCTAGACTCATTCTCAGCCTCTGTTCGCTATTTTCATGCATAATCCTATAATGGAGAATTTGCAAGGGATCTCGTAACTTAGCATGCTCACATGTATGGATGCTTGTGCCTACCGAGTCCGGCTAAGCGCTAAGCCACCCCCCTAAATAACTAACACCCGCTACTAACCAATAAGGGGAAATTAGAGATTTTTCAGCCACTTTAAATAACCTCAATTAATTAATTTACTATATGTCTCTATGAAAGTTAAAACTAGATATATATAAACTTAAATATTAGATCTACTAACTATTTAATACTCTAGTACTTCTTTTTAAGTACTTCTAAAGCTGTTTAAGCCTCTTTC